TTCTGAAGGCTGTAATAGTACATACATTACAAGCGAGGTGGTAAATATCAAGGATGGTAGACGTAAAGGATTGCTCAGGCTCACGAATCTGTCAGCCGGCGTCACGTGGTCCATAGACATGCTGTGACGTCACAACTGGCCTTTAATGGCGTCAAATACATGGGAGTTAATAGGAGCAAATACCAAATAATGCAAATAAAAGTGAATTATGACATTAATTTGTTAAAATCGCTTTTGAATTTATAATGAAATTATTGTAGTTATAATTTGAGGTAATACAAAATAGAATTTTCTGTTTATTTGTGTCCAAAAATTGAGTAAATCTGTTTTCTAATCGGGGTAATCAGACGCAATAATTCCAATAATTCATTGTTCTGTATTTTAATGATATATAAGACATTCAGAATAGGAACAAATTTTTTACTTTTTATATTGACGGGTATTCTTTACGTTTTAAAATGCTCAAACAAAGATGATTTAATAAATAAATTTCCATTGAAATTTTTTGGTCACAAAGTCGTGAAAATATTAATAATATTAATGGGTATACATATAAAATAGAAACGGGTTTTATTTTTGACAATTTTATATGCAATAAATTTTGTTGATAAATAATAATATCAAAATCTAATAATGGATAATAGGTAAAAAATGTAAAACAAAATAAACCATTTTTATAATAATGTAATAATGACTTTAAAGAAGAAAGAAATGAGCAAAACGACTTTCAACACAATATAAATTTTATTTCTTCAAATAAAAACATTTGGTAGCTGGACTAAACTTGAATTTTGAAACCAGCGTAGGTACAATCAAAATTCAGTGAAATGATATCCCAAAAATTAAACAAAGATTAAATTAATAATATTTGMTTTCTCTATTTGTCCACATGACTTAGAGATTATAAAAATAATACTATTGTAAAAAAATAATTTTTTAATTCTAAAATTATTGAAAAATAAAGAAAAAAAAAAGAAATCACATAAATTAAAAATCAATTAACAATTTTACAACACCCCACGTTTATAATTTTAATACAAACAATACAGAATTTCTGGGGGTTACAAGATCAAAAATATGCTTGGGAAATTATACTGAAACACATTGTATCTGGTGTAATGTTAGCGATGCAAGTTTATAAAATATGTATCTACTTATAATACATTCATTTCTGTTTTAGATCAGAATAGGCTATGGAAATTTGGCGACTGTAGCTGTATGACAATAAAATAGCTTACTTTAGCCTAAAACAAAAATGAATGCATTATAACAATTTGTTTCTTAGATCACGTTGATAATCATTGTTTGTGAAATGGAGCAAATTGAGCTACGAATCGACTTGAACTTATCAGCTCGTCTGCACCTGTTGACCCATTCCTTTCTCATCGTTGATGAGACCATATTGTTGCCGATAGAAAAAGATAAAAAATGAGATTGTTACCCATTTGTTTTGGTTTTATTTGGCTGCTATTACAACCATATACAGCATACTATCTACCAGGCGTATAGTGACGATATATGCACCACCTATTTAAATTTATTGGAATTACATAAAATATACTAAAATTTGCATTATTTCGTACTACAATTTTCTTTTGTACGATCTTAATATGCTCTAATATCATTAAAACACCAAAAAACACGAAGCACAGCTGATGTAAACAAACAATGTGGGCCAGTTGTGAATACGGTTAACATTGCAGCATAGGGCCTGAGCAATCCTGTATGTCTACCATCTTTGGGTAAATATGGCATTTCCCCATAGTGCTTATGTATATGATCGAGAGGCGCCAGCCTCGAGATCGGATAAAGCACAAGGCCACAAGGGGTAATGCCATTACCACCGAGGTTGGTATGCTATTTTATAATACAAAAAACACTTTTGTAGGAAATTTTGTAGGCTTTAATTTTGATAAGCAGGCAAAAACCGATAGGAGTTACAGTTTCCGAGATATAAGCAAAAAACCAAAAAAAGACACCTTTAGCCCCCTCCCCCTCCTCGAACTCGCCCCCCACCCTCGGGGACTTTTGATATATGTCTACTCAAGTGTAAAGAAAGCGTTTAAATAAATTCCAACTCTCTAGCATTTTTTTTCCACCGATTGCCCTATTTTTGTCTAATTTGACTTGGCTACTACAAAAGCAATTGAATACTAATTTAACAAAATATTATATGTAACTTGACAATTTGAAAGAAAAAAATTCCGTTATTACTTTCCTTATTCTATTTAGTGTGTAATCCGGCAGGCGGCACTAACGCAAACGTTTGCTACTCGGATTTCCAACACCGTAAGGATCTTTTCCAAATAAGTTGGGTAAGGAAAGTCGTGTGATGTTCACACCAGAATTTTTTTGTAATTTTATGGTTGGCTATCCTGCATATTACCGCCCAAGAGAAGTAATATTATTACTCCTCATTTAATTTAATGTGTTTCGCAAACCTTTAAAAGGTTAGTAATCGGCATAATACATTAGTGATTGTCTGATTGTGAATAAAATTCTTATCAGTAGAGATAGGACACGAGTTATTATTTAATTTAACATCATTTTATAGGTCATTTTTGAGGTTCAAACATTGCTTCATATTTATGAAGAGAGCTTTGTTATACATATTATCACAACATAACTAAATTTCTAAATGTATGTATTTCGGAAGAACATAAATTTATTTAGCATCTAAATGATGGGAGCTGAGAAAAAGGCGGCTCGTACTACACGGCCTAGAGCGGCTTAAACTGCAAATCCGCCACTGGTGTTTGATTAAAGCGCCAACGGGAATCAGTTGAACTCAAAAAATGCTCAGGCGAGAAAAGGATTATTTCTATGGAGACGGCGATGGTTTTTGCAAACCGTAAAAAAGTTTAACGTGTTACGACAAATGGCCGTTGCTGAGAAATAAAAAAATAAGACGTTTACGTAAACGTCTTTGAATTGACGGAATACGTCTTTCGCCCTTGAAAGACGTTCACATGACGTTGTCGTTAAGGTTAACGTTAAACTAAACGATTTGCAAAAACTCTATTTATTTATTCAATACAGTTCAACCGATGCAATATGTATGTAAAATTATCTGACGTTTCGTATTGAGAAATGTCAAACAGTTGTCAAAACGTCCTTAAAAAACCGTAAATTTTGACAGTGTCGAAGAATAAAAGTCTTTTTGTTCCTGATTACAACTCGATATGATCAAATTTTAGATGCTAATCAAAATTAAGAAAAAGCGTTTTTGCGAAGAGTGCTTTGGAAACAACGCCACCAATTTTAATTAACAAACTAAATTAGCGTCAGGCAACGTTTTGGTATATAGTTTTTTATAAATGAATTATTTTAGTAAAATTTGTTTTCAATTGTGAATTGTTATAATGCTGAAGGTTTTTAATAATGAACGGTTATAGTATTGAATTATTTTACGAGTGACCCATTTTAGTTTGGAACTTTTTAGTTTTGAACGGTTTTAGGTAAGAAAGTTTTTAGATGTACGCGCGTCCCCCCTTGTTTCCGTTTCTAATAGCCTGTAGCAAAAAAACGTGGAAAATTATTTATCCTACAGAAATAAGTAAGAGTCAGTGCAAAACTTAAACTCTCATAACTTTGAAATTTTTATAGATACAATTTTTTTTAAATATTTTCTATGTTCCTGGTACCTTACCCTACATGGCATTTGGGGTGCGAGTTCTGGCGCACTCTGTATGTGCATATGATGTAGAAAGTGACTCCTTTAACTTTTAAGAATCGCGATATCTCAGAAATGGTGATTCTTAGAAAAAAAGTATAAAGACCATTTTTGTAAATAATTTTAAGGTCTATAATTTTTGTCTGAGCTACTTTTTTGATAAAACTTACCGTTTCCGAAAAAAAATTAAAAAACCTCAAATTTTGACCTTTGACCCCGAATAACTTTTTTAGCACACATGGGATCGATGGGGACTTTTGACACTTTATTTCTAATGGTGTACCCAAAGTCTCCACCAAAATTTAGCTCTGTGGGAATTTTCGTTATTTGACCACTATTTTTATGACTAATTTGACCGGATTATCCACTTAAAATATCATTTTTCAAGTTTTCTGTATTTTACAGGGATGTTCGTTTTTCTAGCTCCACCATGGGGATCTCAGTTATTATAAGAGATACGAGGTCGGTTAAATTAGGGCAAAGTTGCGCATTTTTATGCTGAATAATAATCTGGAAGAAAATTTAATGTGTCATCTTTAGTTTTTGAATTATTGGGAAAAAACGGAAATTTGTAATTTTCGTTTTTATTTTTTCAAACGAAAACTAAAAGGCTAGACGTTTTTAACTAGGACGTTCTTAAGGCACTTTCTTACAAAAAAATCTAAATCTGTCATCGTATTGTCCAAGGCGCTCTTGATATCAGAGTTACAACACTCAACTTTGGATTTTCTTATGAACGCCATATTTGATTTCTGTATTTTTGAAGTCTTTTTGTTTCAGATTACAACGATGTATGTACACTTGAGTACAAAAAAAAGCAAACTGTCAAAAACAAAATTGTCAAATTTTTCAGAGATTTACATAGTGTGAAAAAGGTTGTTCCCAAAAAAGTTAGAAAGCTATCAAAAGAAATGTCTTATTTGGTGGTCTTGCCAGTGCAATGTCATAGTCAGTGTTAAACACGAAATGGAAAGACATGGAAAAACCTGATAGAAGTCTGGAAGATGCCTGAAATATGAAATTGTAAATTGTGACAAAGACAACGTCACAAAACTTGCATTTAATTAACAGGCCAAATTACATTATAAAAAAATCAATTTGCGTTTTTTTTGCACTCAAGTGTATTACATGATATGATCAAATTTTATATGCGGATGTTTTTGAAAAATGAGAAATGTCCCATAACAAAAATATGAATTTTGTGCGTTACTTTTGTTTCATCCTTATAGTTTATTTAGCCACCTAAAAACTATAATAACATTTTTTTCTTTTGCGACAAAGTGTTTATTAAAACAGGAATCACCATAATGGATAAAGACATATTGTGTGTTTTTTAGACAATTTTATTTCAATAATAGTAAATATAAAAAATACATAGGTACAACAAATAACCTGATTTAATCTACATAAACTGCATAATTTCAATTTTCAACAATCCTTTAAAATCCCATCTATGTAAAAACCATCTAAGTAAGTATTTTTGAGTGATTTTCTTGATATAATATAAAATGATAACAAATAAATTTTTACAATAACTTCTAAAAACAGCACCTAAAATATATAAAACATATTTTATTGCTAAAAAGGTTTTAGAATTATATGAACACACAGATTTAACAAAAACAGTTGAGATAATTATTGCAATTAATTTTTGCAAAAACATAATGGAATAGATTAGCACCAACGAAAAATTTCGATTCCACTAAACCCTGTACATAGGCACGTATTTGTTAGTGGTTATAAAAATTCTTGTTGAGATTTGTACAATAATAATAATGTATTATTTATTCGAGTGAATGGAGAAGTGCTTAAAAAATTGAGCAAATTGCTTTATAGTCATGAATCGGAATAATTATCCTACAAAATTAAATTAAGTAAACAGTTCGATCATGACTCATTTGAATAAATAAAGCTACCACTACATCACTGCGATTTTATCCTTTGATGCAAGTCCGTTCCGTTGACATAATATTGGCTAACTTTGTTCGATTTAACTCCGTTTTGCAGCGCACCCGTGCCGTTTTGGACGACTCCGTTCTTAGCCGCTGCTGATGTTCTCTTATTATAAGTTTGAATGTAGAACTCTTTGAACAAGAAGAAAAACATGACAGCGTGCATGCCGATCCACCAGACAAAGGCACGAGGGTAGTTGCAATCGGTGAACAGTAATTGGAAGGCGTGGACCATGATCGCCACAAATTGGATCATTTGCAGAGTTGTTAAATACTTCTTCCACCATAAGTACTTCTGGACTTCGGGACCAAGGGCACTTAGCATGTAATAGAAGTACATGATGATATGTACGAATGTGTTAAGGAAGCCGAAGAAAGTACTGTGACCACCTAGAAGCAACAGAATTAAAAAAAAATTAATTGTTTGATTAAAAAACAAACCTGGAGTAAATTTGACTCCAAACCAGACGGACATAGGCATCACGCCATGGTGAATTACATGTAACGTGCTGACTTGATCATATTTCTTTCTCAATACAAAAAAAATCTGTAAAAGAAAGTATCAGTAGTTGTAATTTCAAATAAAAGGAAAACAGACTTTGAGTTATCAAAAAAAAAAAGTAAGCTCAAATCGTCCATGATAAAAACTAACTAAAAACCCTTTCACTTATTGTTAAGTTTTAATATAGGGTGATTTTAATACAGTGTTATTTACGAGAGGGGTATTTCTGAATTATTTTTGCCGCAACCAACAATACCAATATAACTAACTGCTAACCTACTCTTTTTAAATCAGAAATCAAAGTAAGTTGGATAGATTTGCCAGAATTGTCAGATTGACCGATGAACTGTATTTAATCAAAATTCAACAAATACGTAAATTAGCAAGTTAAGTTAACGGAAAAGTTGTTCGAAGTGTCTACCATCGGCTTCTAAACATGCTCCCAGTCGGTTGGTAAACGATAATAAAACATTAAGAGTCTCGCAACTTCCTTATGCAAGCAAAAGTTACTTCTTCGGCTGCACTTTTTGACGACTTATTGCCTCTGGCATTTGACATTTTTCTGGCGCACCTGTATAATATTTTTCGGTACATGTTTATAATTGAATGTTTAAAATTGAATATTCTCTCACCTGTTTAAATTTGTAACAATAACAACGGAACAGCCTGTATATAGTAATAGCTTCTGAAATGTCTGAAATGACTATTAGCAAAGTAAACTTTGGAATAACAAACCAAAACAATGCAACTTCGAATTTCCCGACGTTAAAATGCATTCAGAAAATGCAAGTTAAATTATTTTCACTTCTTTAGACTTAAACTATACTCCTTTTCATATTAATCAAATAGGTCGTAGAAGTCTAAATGCATCTTTCATTTTAAGGCCGATTCACACAAAAAGTGTCATTAATATCATTCAGAACAAATTTAATCACATCAATAATGACAAAAAATCTTTTTATGTTTGCCACTCTGTTGTTAATTTAAATTATTTTTTATTACCTCAAAAATTGGGATTGATATGAGGAAAGCCAATACTTTGAAATTGTCATCAATGTTGACTTGACATTAATGCTTGGTTTACATTGTTTTTGCAGTGACAGAAAGATGACAAAGGTATTTTGTCCCTAAAAGTATTATATAGGATGTCCCACGAGTAATAATGAGCTTGAAAAATTTTTGGAAGCAACCCACATTACATTCTAAAGATAACGTGGATATTAAAATATTTAGTTTTTATAAATTAAACGTAGTGACCAAACAGCATACTTCAACTTTAATTTATAATTTAGTGAGAATTACTAAATTACTACATTTATGTAGAATGTTTGAAAAACGCTTCGCAGACTGCACGTTTCTATCTAGCGCGATATCCAAATAGACGGACTTTCTAAAACTGGGGTAATTTTGACTGGTAGAAATTTATAGAAATTTGTCAAAATAAAAACACGATTACTATGTTTAACTAATTAAAACAAAATATTTTAATATCCACGTTATCTATGAAATGTAATGTTGGTTGCTTCAAAAAAAAATTCAGGCTCATTATTACTTGTGGGACACTGTATGTGCCATAGTCATCACCATCCTAAAAACGTCGCATCTGCTATTTTTGAGGTCAAATAGGTCAGAAACATTTGATTTCTGTGTAAATGAAGAATCTGTATTATACTCAACCCTACTAATAAATTTTGAGCCCAAAAGCTCCACTCTCTCATAGAGAAAAAAAATTTGATTATCAACAGTTTTTTTAACACATTTAAATTTAAAAACTTATTTTAGATAAATGAAATTACTAGATTTATATCATTTAAAACAATGGCGTTATAAGCCATGCTGATATCTTGCAAGCATTAATTAGCAAACACAAATTTCGCCAGAAAAATTGTAATAAAACTACTACTTATACTTACAGTATCAATGAATTCTGTAAATTTCGAAAAAAAGTACCACCATGACGCGTGCACCATCTACAAATTAAACATTGAAATGCCATGTAATATGTAAATTTTAAAACCTTACCCTTATTGTACTAGGTTTATTTGAATAATCAACAGGTTGACACCTTATGCTATATTCACCTGTAAGCCAACCTCCCAAGCCAATCTAAGATTTTCAAAAATGTTAGTAAGAAATTAGTGGACAAGATACGTTACTTACTTGATAAAATAACCATATACTAAATACTACTTGTAAAAAATTATAAAATACTAGAAGTTTCTTAAACTGGAAAGGTTTTCTATTTTCCATTAGCTTCGGTCCCAAAACCTATAAATGAAATGTTGTCAAAAGATAACATGTACTTTCAAAAATAACTCACCTTTACTACAACTACATAAGATATACATATTCCTAGAGTATAAAAAGGACTTGACATTAATAGCCAATCTGCTGTGCGTGGATCTAAAATAAAAAATTGTAAATTATTAAGTTATCAAAAAGAAGAAACACTTTTAGTATTATGATTGATATGCAATAAAAATTTTATACTTTGCTCTATGACAAATCAAAGTAAAAAAGGGAATATTTTTCAAAAATAAAAATAGTTCAGAGTGATTTTGAAGTATGTGCAAATAAATATTTTAACAGGCGATAGTAGAGCTCAAAAGAAGTCAAAATAACTCAACTTGCCTTATCCGAATGTTTATAGTTTCTAAGATATAGAGGGTGAAACCTCCACATTGGCGTCGAAAAAAATACCTACTAAAATAATGCAGCATAAACGAATTTTGAACCTTTTGAGTATTTTATCCTAAAGTTTACATTGCTAGTAATCGGTAACCTTTGAGGTAAAGAAATTAGGTGATATCTTAAACAAAAAAAAAAAAAAAATGATCCAAGGACCGTGCGATCAAATAGTTGGCAACACATTGGCTGGGAATTTTCCACACAAACTGAAAGTGAAAATGACCATCCACTGGTTTCCTCTTGTACAGCAATAAAATTTTTCTGCTCTAAAGTGAACATTAATTTACTCAAAAAGAATAAAACTCAAACTTGTTAAAGTTTCCGCTGACATTTGATGTCAAAAATCAGGATTGCCATCAGAAGGACTTTAATCACCGCCTACTCTAATTTATTTAATTTTTTTGATCGCACGGTATTTATCGTTTTATGTTTTTTCTTAGATGAGGCTACTTTTTTCTGTGCCTGTTTTTGCTACTTTTTTCTATTTTTTTAAACAATGTTATAGAAGAACTAACTTCAGAGATCAAATTTGTTTTCAATTTTAGTTGGTGAAGTTCAAGGCTGCGCCGCAAATTTAAATTTATTCGACGAACAAAACCTTCTGTATCTCAAAAACAATAAACATTCGGAAAAGGCAAATTGACTTATTTTGACTTCTTTTGAGCTCTACTGTCACCTGTTAAAATATTTGCATATACCTCAAAATCACCCTGTATATTATGTTATTAAGAGTAATAGAGATCGTTAAGTTTATGTGGCAAAGCTGAATGTTTATTTTGCCGAACGCTGTGAGACAAATAATTCAGCTGATTTGATTATTTATTTTAATTAGTTATTGTTATAAGTCTACTCAGGTTTATCAAATAAATCGTTTTTGGAAACGGTGGTGATAAAACAGTAATTTTTTCCTTTTGTGAATTGCCTGTTCACATAAACAAGTTCGTCACAATGTATCTAAAATTAATGTTTTTTTTTCAGTCGAATTTACTGTCTTTAAAATTAAATAAGTAGTGTATTAATTTTAAATTGAAAGTAAGTTAGATAACCAAATAAACGCGTGAGTGAATATCGACAACAATTCTTACGATTTGAGAGATAGATAAACACTGTTAATTAACTAATTAATTCTCGTGAAAATAGCCGTGTAAAAAAAACATTATGATTACCACTAATATTTATTTAAAAAAAATTAGAAATTCAGTGAAAGTAGACCTTTGTATAAAATATGCAAAAAATAAACTGGGTCCACATTTGTAGAATGTCACGGAAAAATTGGTAACCTTGTCCAAAATCATAGATTTTTTCAGCAATTAAATAATACTTAACAATGACGACCACAAAATAACTAGGCAAAAATTGCAGTAACTCACCTTGATATTTATTTAAATATGAGTTTACATTACGGATCAAATCCAATAGAAAAGCCATTTTAACGAATCTGAAACAAACATAAAACATTAGCTTGTGGTTTAGTGATAATTTTGTGTTTAAAAGAAATCTAGTTGCTGTGGTTACAATGAATGAATTCCCGAAATCCTAAAACCGGAGGAAACGCGATTCCGCGAGCATTAATAATTCGTGCACACACCAGATGCAATAGACTTTACATAACTATCGATAACTTTCGATTGGCGTTTACTGTGTCAATGTCAAGAACAAATTGGCACACGACTCTAGTTGCAAAATCATTAACAATAAGACAATTTCAATGCACTTGAAATCTCCTTTCTTTAATATTTTTTTCTTCTCTCATAAAATAAACAAAATCTAAGCTGTAAGGCCGTACGCATCAAGAACATCTTATTAAATGAAGGCAAAAATCACGCTGTTTCATCGGAACTCAGACGGAATACAAATGTAGGATTGCAAGAAGTACATGTTGTCACATTTTTAACCGTTTGTTTTAAAATGCGTTTCGTAAGTTTCCAATGGGAAAGTTAAACAATTTAGCTACAAGTACCAACGCAAATTTGTCGGAATGTTTCGCACAAACAAAACTGTTCGCCTTTACAAGAAGTTACAGATTTTTTTGTGTATACATAATAATTGTTTTAACCTTAAACGAAATTCTGAGCTTGTTCCATGATCTTGTAGCAAAGATCTTGGTGTAGGTTTTTGAAATTTTTCTAAACGACTGTGATAACACTTCGTTAGAAGAGTTTTTAAGGTTTATTACATCCTTTTTAAATTTGTATTACTAAATACAGGGTGCGCCAGAACTCGCGCCCCAGAGAAAAATGCCATATAAGGTAAGATACTAGAAACATGGAAAAAATGTTAAAAAAATCTATTCATAAAAATTCCGAAGTTATCAGAGTTAAAATTTTTCACTTCGACTCTATTTATCTCTGTGGGAAAAATAATTTTCCAAGTTTTTTTGCTACAGGCTATTAGAAGAGGAAACAAGCAAGCTGTATCCTAAATTGTAACTCTGTTTAAGGCTCTTCATCGTAGAAGATAACGGTAAATCCTGAACTGCAGTTGTATGTTTAATTTTTTTGTGTCATACAACATTGCAATTCGTCATTTTTAACCGATTTTCTATGCGTCAGTCGGCTATCACTTTTGCACTCATCGGTGTTCATATTTCCATCAACGACAGCAAATTTGAAAGGCCGATAGATACGACCCGGGTACCTACTGGTAATAAAGTAATAAATTTTAGAATAGGGCCGGATCGCAGGGTGTAACCCACAAACATGATCGTTTTATTGCGTTTGTTCAAAGCAAAGATATGCATCTGCACCCCTCAAGAAGAGAATTGTTAGTTCTAATTATTCATCTATTTAAAAATAAATCAAAAAATTCATAGGTTTAATATAAAGGCACTAAGCCCAATACGTAATCCTAAAAAAAAACTTAATATTTATATTAATTTCACCGAGGACGGTTTGTGCTTAGGAATTATGTGTATTACAAAAAGTTAAAAAAATAAAAACATTTTGAGAGACAAAAAATACTTAGTGTTAAATACTTAGTATTAAAGTACTAATTTTTTGACAATTACTTATTATCATTTATTACTGTCGATTTATGACTTGTACTCTCCAATCTAGTGATCGGAAAGCATTTTTTAATTTTTTGACAATTACTTATTATCATTTATTACTGTCGATTTATGACTTGTACTCTCCAATCTAGTGATCGGAAAGCAGGGCACTCTCCGATTTAGCGTCCGGGAAGCAAGGTACTCTCCGATTTAGCGACCGGAAAGCGGGGTACTCTCCGATCTAGCGACCGGAAAGCAGGAACCCTGTAGGGCTGAATTATTTATTTTATTTATTTAGCACTTATCACAGTAACAAATGGAGTAAAAAACACTAACGTTACAAGTTACAAGCGGCTGTACTTTACATAGAGCAACCATTTTTTAAACACATTTCAGCATAAGCTGGTAAATAGTGATTGTAATAAAATTGTTTGATTAAAAATTATCTGAATTTCTTCAGGAGTTTTTTTAATTACTTTTAAAACATCTTTGCACAACACAACCATAATCAGTTAATCACCATCCGCTTCTTCAGTAATTTATTTTATTTATTTATTTATTTGTGGCTTTTATTGGCAAAATTTTTCTAATTTTACTAAACAATTATAAAAAAACATATATAAGATCATCAGTATCATTAAATAGACATAAAAAAATGTCAAATGTCAAAAAATAAATGTCAAAATTTTTTGACATAGAATTTTTTAAACATTTTTTCATGTTTCTGGTATCTTACCTTACTTGAAATTTTTCTCTGGGGCGCAACCCAAAATACATTCTCACAGACAACTTGGCTTTTGTTATGTTTGAAAAATTTAGATTATTAAATTTAAATCAAAGTAGTTGTTGAAATGTCATTCATTAAATGTGACAGTGTCAAATTCACTTTTTTCCCCTTGAATTCAAAATGCACTCAAACGATGAATAAACTAAAGTGATCCTGATATACAGGGTGCGCCAAAACTCGCGCCCCAGAGAAAATGTTCAAGTAAAGTAAGATACCAGGAACATGAAAAAAATGTTTAAAAAATTCTGTCAAAAAATTTTGAAATACATTTTTTGACATGTGACATTTTTTATATCTATTTAATGATATTGATGATCTTGTATATGTTTTTTTTACAATTATTTTAATTATTAATTAATTAATTATTAATTAATTAATTAATTTTGCCAATAAAAGCCACAAATAACATTGAACAGAGTTACAATTTAGGATACAGCTTCCTTGTTTCTTCTTTTAATAGCCTATACAGTTGTACCTAGACAAAATACTTTGGTCGTCACTTTTCCGACACTTTAATGTAATTCAAGCTTTAACGTTAAAATGAATGACAATTTCAAATTAATGACAGCTATTATATCTTTCTAGAGAAAAATATGTACAACTTGTCAATTGTTATGATTGACAGTAGTTAAAAGTAAGGTTAACAGTCCAAAAGCATGCTTTACAATTTAATTTCACTCAAGTCACATTGACGACCAAAGTATTTTGTCTCCAACTGTACCAAAAAACTTGGAAAATTATTTTTCCAACAGAAATAAATACGAGTCAAAGTGCAAACTTTAAACCCTCATAACTTCGAAATTTTTATAGATAAAATTTTCTTAACATTTTTCCATGTTCTTGATATCTTACATTATATGGCATTTTTCTCTGGGGCGCGAGTTCTGGCGCACCTTGTACAGGGTGTTCGCGGATTGCGAGCAAATATTTTAACCACTAAAAGAATTCGTTATAAAAAGTGAATTTGAAGACCAAACAAATTCCGTACTCAATTTTTAGCGTGTCTGTCTTTGTTAGGTAGAAGTAAAAATATCAATTAAAATAATTTGCATTAAATGTTGACCGTAGATGTTTTTATGTGGAAAAAAAGGATCTTTATGCCCAAAAAAATTATCAGTTGTTTAACGCGTCAGTTTGGTCAGTTGTAATCGCGCTTTCAGGTGAATTGTGCGATTTGAAATCAAACTGTAAACCAAACAAGTCATTATGGCCAACTATTCCGACTAGTGAACGTGAAGTGATGCCCTTCCAAGACCGATCTTCACTAAATGTTTGGGCAGCAATCATTGAAGATCACTTTAATTACACCCCTCATTTTATCTCAACGTTTAACTAGTGCTGTTTATCTTAATTTTTTTTTTGGAAAATGTGTTGGCCGATCGCCCTTGGCGACACGGAGGGACAAGTGGTACTTACAAAATGGAGTTCCACCAGATTATGACAAAGTCGTCACCAATGCATTTTTAATTTTAACTCAAAAATAACCTGCTCTTGACGAGTTCTGTATAGAGAATGCCACAAAAATGCTGTGGCTGTACCGTCAAAGGTCACCAAGTTATAAAAACTGTCAAAGGTATTACAGGTATCTACATTTATATCTTTGAGAAATTTCAAACAGTAAGTACGAGTACATCAATTAACGCATATGGTGGTATCTGAGAATATATTTTGGGTTGCATCTGGAAATCGGTTAGAACAACAATAAATAAAATATCCACAAAACATATAAAATTTGATTTATTGTAAAAAGCCAATTAATTTTCCTACGACCATATACGAAACTAGATCATAACGCACAATTACATATGCGCGAAAATTGGCAATATCGTACGAGGTCAGAAAACCTGTGCGATTTGTCTTCGCGCTGTGTGTTAGAAATTTAACACACAATTCACTATGGAATGTTTTGTATTTTTTCATTTAACGTATTTTTTTGTATCCATTATAAAAAATAAATCGTTATTCAACGTATTTTTGTATCCGTCATAAAAAATAAATCGTTATGAAAAAAATATGTTCGTAAGAAATAAAATATTTATGGTCGTAGGAAAAATAGAGTACAAAACTTGCAGGAAAGTGTTTAACGCACTCGCGGTATTGCCTGCACTCGGCAACGCCTCGTGCGCAACTTTCCCGCTTGTGCGTTAGTTATCACTTTCGGTGCTCGTTATGTAATATACTATTTTAGAATAGGAAACTACTTTGATCAGAAATTTAACAGATAACATAGTAAATAAATGATTAATAAGAAATCATTTGAAATATGTATTCCCAAGCTTGTTTTTGATAAAGATGATATTGCGATTATTTTTAAAAAATTGAAAAGCTTATAACCATCCTACTTTTCCGGTTTACAAAGTTCCCTGAAATAATAAACAGGTGTCAAGTAACATGAAGAAGATCTACTTGGTATTAATTGTTAAAAGAGTACTATGTTATTTTAAAAAGTATGAGTTCGCGATTACCTGTTTTATATCCTAAATAAATATATCTTGCTATTTTAAATCATGTAAATATTTACTAATAACACCCTTATAAAAGTCAGAAAAAATTGTGTGATTTATGATAATTAAAATATTGACGTTGTGTCACTGATACTGATAACGATGATAGTAGAAGAATACCAGTTTTTGATTTTGCGTGCGGATCCGAAATAGGAAAA